CTCTCTGAAAAATTACAGTAATATCTCTATATTAATAAGCTAATAGGCAACTGCAAGACTGTTATGAGACTCTTGCGCAAGACCAAGACTAAGACCAAGCCTGAGTGCGTAAGACCAAGACTCGTATTGGTCCTGCATTAGGCAACAATACTAGAAATATTATTACAGGTACTTTTTAATAGCTGTTGAGTATGAAAATTCGAAAAATCATTTGAGTTTGTTTTAAAACTATTTTACTAATAAAATCTAAAAATGTGATGAAAAAACGGTTAAAAGTGTTTAAGGAAAATCTACAAAAAATAAAAACAAAAATTAATTTTAAAAACCGATTAGAGAGACCGGGGAATCCTATCTACACTACAGAATTATACCTCGATTTCTACTAAAAACATTTACGTAAATTGATATGGAAATTGACATCTTATGAATATTTAAAATTTTTGTAGCACTCGGGTGCCTAATATACCACACCCCGATCGAGACTTAACAGAAATTGACATTGAATGGCATCCGACTATTACATCAAGTTAAATTTTAATAAATTATGATTTAATCTTAATCACATTTTTACAATAAATAAATACATTAAATGAATTTAACAGCTAATTACTATTTGTTAATTTTACCTTCTTCTAAACATTATCGCTTTAAAGTAATTATAATGTTAATATTAAAAATTATTATTAGAACTATTATTAAAAATAATATTAATAACAATTTTTACCTTAGAATTTTGATATATCAGCAATGATTTAGACCCTATTTATATTTTTATATAATTTAGTTTTAATATCATATTTTATTTAGATAAAAATAAATTAAAAACCACTCTAAAAATTTAACAAAAATTAATTTTAAAAAATTCAATTGAACTAGCCTAACTGCAGAAGGAACAAAAATTATTTTGACTTGAAATTCGCTTTACACAGAACTTTCGTTTCCAACCGTTCGCTCTAAGTAATAATAATTAAAGATATTATGATTAATATAAATTAAAAATTACGACACTATAAAAGAAAAATCATAAAGAGTCCAATAGAGGTTTGGTTTTAAAAAAATATATAAATTAATAAAATAGCTTTCGAATAGTGATGATAGACCCACATTTAAATACTAACTGTTATATATTTTTTTCATGACGTAAAATTAATTAGATAATTAGCTGAGGTGAGAACCTAAGTACATTTAAAAGGACCTGGTGATCATCATTTTCAAAAAAATTATTTAAGAGGATCAGACAAGAATAAGATTAGGATAATTCTTTGAAGTGTAAATCCTAAAATTAAAAGTATTTAATAAGGTTTATAGATCTCATGGTTTTTATTTATTTATTATCACTCGAGACAATGTGGATCTGGTATTGATCGTCTTACAAACGAATATTCTTTAAGGGAAGGGGGGCGTAAGGGCCGACCAGGCGTGTCGGTGTGAGTTGCCTCCAGTAGACTAGCGGGCACATACCAGTGCAAATCTTAGGCAGCGTGTTTGTTCCCAAAGGGCAGACATCCAATTTGGGCGTCCACGCTCACCCATCTAAATACGATTCATCTCTTTCCTATGTCAACTTTTTTTTTCTTATTCCAATTAATTAGCATGGGTCAATTATCTTTTTCACTTATTCGAACGTATTTTAGAATTAAATAAAACAGCGGCAAGAAATGTTATTTTACAGCACTGTTGAGTTTATTCATATAAACGAGGGGTAAAATTGCAGTAGTTTTGAAATACAACTAATTTTATTAAAATAAAATAACTTAAGATTTTAAAACGAATTCAAGCTAACCGCTACCTTTGTTCCTCGACTTCTTTGAGGCGGATATCCTGTAAGTGATTGTTGAGAGCTTTAGAAAGCCCTCACCTCCCGGTTTGTTTTATTCTAGTTGACGCCTTTCCCCGAGCGATTATTGTCTCCTAGCGGTAAAGTCATTGCCGAGAGTTCATACGCCCTTCAGTCAGTTCACTTGTAAAGAGTGAGTCGTTAAATAACGGTAACATAAGTGCCTCCTGAGGTCTAAGGCAACTGGGTCTCAACGATTAATAGAAACTAAAGAAGTGCATAAATTACGACCACTATCGTTTAGTGGCTTTAAATCATGTTTTAAAAATAATAATTGAATGATGATATTGCTCAAGCGTTCGACAGAGTTTGGTACATATTTTGACAGCGTCATACGCAGACAAGTCAATTCAAAAATATACAACATATGCCTCACAGACCCTACAACAATATTTAACAAATTTATATGACTAGTTTAAACTCGAAACATCGACACGACACATTACCTTAGCCTGACATTTGATCGAAAAATGGCATGGGGCCCAAACACCACAAAAAACAACATCTAATAAGCTGAAGATGCTTTCACTACATCTAATACACTGAAGATGCAAGACGCAGGATGTATGCATCTTAAACACTGGACTGTGTAATAGAATGAGAGCTTTCACAACGAAGATGCAAGTGCGTCTTGCAGCCTGGATGCAAGATGAACGTGCATCTTGAGAGCCAGAGGGCTGGAGATTTTTAGCGCGCATCTTTGTTGTGCTGATCTTGCATACTCGCCCCTTCCACCTCGGTCGGTCCGAAGCAAAATATTTTGAGGAGCAATCATCGGTTCCAGTCGGCTTACACCGCCGACGCTCGGTCTACCGTCTTCTTTCTCTAAGCTCTTGTGATCGACGTCTCTATCAATTATTTTTTTATTTTCAACTATTGTTTTCTTTTTTATCTATCGTTTAATTTATTTTTAACTATATGATCTTTTAATTAATTGTTCTGAACTGTAACTATGTCTCTATCTTTTTCTTTTCTGTCCTGATGATGGCTGAATTGGTGAATCGTTGGCGCCTTATTTTATTCTTTATCAACATTTTAAAGACACAAAGCTGTGAGGTTATAGTTTTCCAATTATAAGGTAACATTTATTCTCCTCCCCCTCTCCTCCTTCCTCTCTCCGAGATGATGCATTGATACTTTTAATTAACAACGCTGTACAAAATATTCCTAAGTAATGTTTTTAGTTTTGAGCTACATTCATATGTTTAAAAAACTAGTTGTACTATCCATGGGAATATATAGTTATTTACCTCAGAAATATGAATAGTCTTTCTTTCGCAGATACACACAACCGGCAATTTTTATTCCGACGAATCAGTGGAGGTTCCATGAGATCCAACAACTTGTGTAATCCATTTCATAGTACGCCTGAAACTTTACTGGATGGTTTAGTAATTGCTGAGACACCATATTAGCTATAATCTCCAGTATTATTCCAGTATGGATGCTCCCATAAACGATTTTCCCTTTGCCTTCGTCTTCTTCCTATAGTACAAGCCAGAAAAATAATTTCGTCACCTGAAGAGTCGGATGATTGATTATTCATCTTTCAAACTCAAGTACTAAACTAACATAGATAATGGAAATAAATAGAAGATGCAAGAGTCACGTGCATCCTTGGTGTGAAAGCACTTTCATCAAGACGCGCATGCATTTTCGATGTAAAAGATGCCTAAAGGCTTTTATCACTTCAAGTTCAAGCTAGAACTCCAATTGTACAACTGGCCCTAAGACTTCTAAATTCAGTAAAACTAAAAACTAAATTACTTACTGAAACCAATTTGGACTTGTGCATCACATATATAAAAGTATCATAGATATAAGATCACAGATAATTTGAAACAGCTATAAAATCACACATAACAAACTTATAATCTTTCAAACAAAAAAATTCAGGACAATTACAAAAGGAAGCTTGGTACGTTAGCAACATAACGTTACACACTTTACACGCCGACTTTGAATGAACTCATGACAAACGATTCCATGGGAAATTAATAAGAAATTCTATCATAATCATGAATGAATTGGCCTAAGCACGCATGGGAGGTAACGTCCGTAGATGGTTGAAGAGGAGCTGGAGAATGTCCTCACCTCTAGCCATTGTATTTCATCGAGAAAAATCAATTTCGCTGATCGTTAATATTAATTTTTTAACGTTTTTTAAAAATAAATATAACTTAAACAACTAAAATAATTATTTATAATATATTATCCCCGAGACTCTTAATCTATTATTTAGGCCCTTCGAGAACAAGGGTTCGTATTTCTTTTTGCTGAAGTCAGCCTATGCTTGAGGGTTTTCAAATTCAGACTTTTTTTTTCCATTTGGTTCCCAATTCGATGGATTCATTTCACCCGCTGATTTTCCGAGTTCTAATCAGAATGTTGCTCGAATCACAGTTTGCTCCACCACAGTTTCTTATGGCCTGAATTGAGCTTTTATGTTTGTTATCTAAAGTTGCGGATTTGGCTTTTCGTACTTTTAGGAGTACCCAGGAGTACTTGTAGATGTTTCTATACTGGAACACCCAATTGCTAAGCACTAGATTTTTGGCTACTACCAGACTGATACATCTCACATTGCACTACTTGTTTCGTGGATGATTATGGATCTAAATTCAGTTTCTCGACCTATCCTGGCACTGAAGTCTCTTGTAACTAATTTTATCTCATATTACGCTCCACAATGTTTCTAACTGATCGAATAAATCATATTTTTCTTCGTTTGATATACACACGTTAATCATTATGATATAAGAACGACCTAAAACTAAGCACAAATATTTGTTTTATTTCTTTAATCATTTTTAATAATTTAATTACATGTAAAGGCTATAAAACCTGAATTGGTGGTTTACATTATTGCTTTAAGGAGAAAAAAGGCTATTATTGTAAGTAGAAATAAATACAGTTATTACTATTATGCTGACACAGTTGTAGAAAATATGAAAATTGGTAGTGAATATGAATGAAAAATCTAAACGTAAACCTAAAGTTGTATCCTATAAAAAAAAATAAGAACATATAAGGGTCACGTAAAGGGACAATTCATGACGCCTGATTAGATCTAGAATTTTCGTATGAAACAATGTTATGAATAGATTTATTGTCCCAATCATCCAATTTATCCAATTATATCATCTGTTTCGTGTTAAAACAAATTAACCTGAATTAACATATACAATTCATTATAATCCAAACAGTAAAACAACAAGTACTCAAGTATTTTCATTTTTTTTTTGTGTTAGCTATAAGTCCAAATTTTTGTTGAAGACAGAGAAACAATCTCACCAATATTAAGGTCCAATTTTCGAAAATATTACATCTTAGATCATTTCTTGAAGCTGAATTATACGTTATTCAAGAGATCGAGCTGTTATGAATTTTATTTTGTCTGTGATTCGATGTATAACTAAAAATCTGACTGGTTTATATTAAGAAAAGTAAGTCCTATAAAAGGCAGAAAAATAGAATTACTATATTTACTGTACTAGAATTTACTAAAAATGGAAGAATGTCACAAGTTTTGCCCTAAATGCTCTGAGAAACGGGGCGTAATTGGACCAGACGTTTTATTGCTCGAACTAGGCGATAAATGCTATGAGAAGTTTTCAGCAGCAGATTGGTGTAAGAGAAAGGAATCATTAGAAAAACTCCAAAAGATCCTCCAAACGAGCCAACTATTGAAGGACGGGGATTACAGGCCCTTACTTTATCAGCTTAGAAAAATTATTCTCACAGACCTATGTGTGATTGTCGTGGGATTGGCAGTCCAATGCGTTACCAGCCTCGCGAAGGGGCTAAGTAAACACTTCGCCAAATATGCAGAAGGCATGTTTCAAATACTGTTCGAGAAGTTCGTAGAGAAGCGGCAGAGGATGACCGAACTGCTAAGAGAAGCAGTCGACACAATTTTCGAAACTACCAAGTTCGAATCTCTGCAAAACACAATCATAAAGCTTCTCAAGCACCAAAATCCTAGCATCCGCTACGAGTTAATTTTGTTTTTAGCAAGAAGTTTTCCTAAATGTAACAAAAGAGTGTTGGCCAAACCGCAGTTTCAGCCTCTGTTCCTTAGTCTGAAGGCATTACTTGCTGATGGAGACATAGTTATAAGAGAAAAGACTTTAGCAGCACTAGGAGTAGCCGTGCAAATAGCAGGCGAAAAAGCGATAATGCCGTACATAAGGGATCTCGATTTAGCATCTAAGGCCAAGATAGAAGTCTACCAAATGCGAGCTTGGGAAATAGCTAAGACTTATAATGAAATGAAATTTCCTAACTTCAGGGAAAAGCTGAGAAAACCAAATATGATGGCGGGTCCAAACAGCCAATCGACCTTTTCACAGATAAGTATTTCAACCAAAGAACAGGCCAGTAAATCAGAACTAATTTATTCGACAAGTAACAGATCGATGAACACCGTCTCATTAAATGGTTGGCCATCGGAGAGCGAAAAACAGGGACCAGAAGTAACCAGCGATCGGACAGGAAGACCTCTTAGTATTCAGCCCAGCAATAATATGCCAACAATTACTGAAGTTAGTAATATGCAGTTGAAATGTAGTTGTAGTAAAGAAACAAACAAAGAACTATCACTGCCCGCAGGGTGTCGACTAAATGAAAGTGAATGTACACATTCATCCCATAATCCTAAACCCGAACATCGTCATATATCGTCACATTCCAATATCAATGTTAAACCGGAGCAGTCATCAAATGTGGACAAACTGCCTAAGAAAGATACGCTGAATGAATCGCAGAACGAAGTAATGATCCAACAGTACACTGATCAGTGCCTGGCCGAAGTAACCCACCATCTCAAAGAGTTGACTAATGAGCATCGCTTGATCACTTACAAGCCAACAACTAAATCAATAAATGAAATCCATACAAACGAAACTGAAATTAATAAATCACTTAGTACCGTTCATGTCGAATCCGAAAAAGAGATAGAGGAAAGTCAAGTCGGTTTCACACAACACGAACTTGATGATCTATTATATATACTGAACGCTGCGAGATTCAGAGCTCGAACAAATAAAAATTTAAAATTCAAAAGAATATTGAATTCCAGAAAAAATCGCTTCACGACCATGAGCAAAGGCTTCCTCAGCAAGGCCGACCACAAAGAGACGCAGTGCACGAGCGCGGTGTCCTTAGTGGACAAGCCCACGCAGACACAGGTGGCTAAAGAGGAGAACCCCAAATCGGTCAGCTGCATCGTCAACTGCTGCGAGAAGTGCACCCGCCTCCTCCTCGCCACGGCTCCGCGCAACTCCAAGTACCTCTTCCCAGTCAACATGAGTCACAACAGTCCGCTCCAACATCTCGATGAGTCTTCAGACAATACTGTGTACCGCCAACTCATATCCTCCGACCGAATTCAGGAAAAGAGTGAATCGGATCTGATAAAAAACACAATAGAGAACAACTTGGCTTATAATTATAGTCACATGAATCATAATCCGGAATTATCCGGACCCAACGAAATAAAAAATTTTATGGCATTACATAAGCAAGAATCGCATGATAAACTGCAAAACAATCTTCAGAGAAAAGAAGTTGAAAAAAGTAGTGTATGTTCCAACGCACAGCAAACGGGGCATGAAAACAAATCCAGTTCGAAATTGCAAGATAAGAGACTATACCTAAGCTCAAAAAAAGGTAAAGTTTCCACCTGCAATAAGACAACATTCGTAACCACGACCAGTACAAGAAAAAGGAAAAGGCGAAAGAGGAACCGTTCGACTTTCGCCGGCTTGGATGAACTATATCAAGAGAACCGAAAGGAGTGGCTTAAAAAAGAGTTTTGCAAGGCAGAGTCGAAACGTGCGATGAAGGTGAGGGTCATAAGGATAGAGTAAGCCATGTCGAAGTCCTCTTTGCTACCGTTGTGAAATAACATCAATTAAAATGTTAATCCATATTGACTAAAACGAATGAAGTCATGTTTTTTACTTGCACTTACCTATATATGTAATATACAGTAAAGTATTGCGATCGTGAAAGTTTTCGAATCTGAGTTTTCAACGGAAATACACGTTTTGAGGTCCCCTGAGTCCAAATAACCAAGTCCCGCAAAATGTTCTGTGTCTATGTAAACAGTCTACCTCAAAAACTAAAAGTCCTACGAAACTATACAGTCTGTAGTACAGACCCCTTTTTATGAAATCATTAACATCCGCCTGAAACTTCGTAAATAGCTTCATCTCATCGTAACCTACAAATATTTTATTTACGAAAACTCTCGGAATTGGGGCGTTTCCAATCTGGAGGAGGGCAAATTTTGTCTATTTTATAAGGTATTAAAAATTCTTAAATATCCATTAGCTTTCTACTTGGATCAAAAGATAATTTGATAACTAAATCGACAAAAAAGGTGGCATACAAAAATATTGGACCGTTTGTCCTATAACCTTGGGATATAGGAAAATTTGGGATGTAGGTAACGCCAAACGGCTCAATATTTTGTAAAGCCAACTTTTTTTTCTCGATTTCGTGATCAAATTGTCTTATGATCCAATTAGAAATAAAATGTGTATATACGAGTTTTTAGTACCTAATTAAATGGACAAAGTTTGCCCCCTCCAGATTGAAAACGCACCAAGTCCGAGAATTTTCGTAAATAAAATATTTTTAGGTTACGATGCGATGAAACTATTTACGAAGTTTTAGATGTTGATAATTTCACAAAAAGAGGTCTGTACGACGGACTAATATTACATAAGATTACATATCTTATTTAATATGTATATACATTAGATGTACTGGCAACTTTTTCCTTAAAACTGAAAGTGCCACTTATATCAACGGTGAAATACATTTTTACAATTTTCTCAAAAAGGGCTTTAACTATTTTGATTAAACTACGTGTATCATTGTATAATTAAGTGGTCTTTAATATCATTTAGGTCTAATCCCTATTGATGTCACTTTATAAGGTTTCAATGCTCAATGTGTATGTACGTCTTCTTCTAAAGTACCTTTAGTATGGTTTATTTAAAAAAATCAACTCTCTTTTATTAACAGTAACTATAAAAAAATGACAAAATATGAAGTTTGAAAGAATATGATAATTGGAAACCGGAAAAAAAAAAAGAAAAATGCTTATCCAGGTAGTAAATGAATCTCCGGAAATAACAGTCAGAAGGTATACGTATAATATATCGTTGGAAAGCGGAAAATTTTAGAAAAAAACAAAATCAAATAAATAAAGTTGTAGAAGGTAATGGAGAATGACGAAAAAAATATAGATAATAATTACAGAATTAAAATACTATTTCATTGCACTTGTGTGAAATAAGGAGTGAAATATAAAAATATTTCATGGATATGTTTGTAACCTGAAATATATTTACTATAGAGTATTAACTCTAGATAAGATATTATATTTAAATAACTAGGTATCTATCGGCCGTTTATTCCAAAAAATCATCAATAACCTTTTACAAAATTAAATTAGAGAATAATTTGATGAATTTTCCCTTTGTAAAACCCCAACATTATCCACTTAAAATTAGTATGACAACTTTTGACCTATCTATGGCAAGATAAGGAAAATTTCGTAATTTCATTTTAGTAAAATTTACAATGGAAAAAAAACACAGTTTAATAACTAATAGTCCTACAATCGATAATCTTTTATAATTTAAATATTCAGATATAAATCTCTCTAGTAATATTTGAGCCTTTCGGTTGACAGAATGGCTAACTCCAATTTCAGCATTCTTTATTATTAATTTTAGTGATCTTTCTAGTGGCAAAATATATACCTTTATTCACACTTCTATAATTCAACACTGCAATCACCTACTTTGGAATCAGCTTACTTACTGTCTGTATAGATAACTTTTCCAACTAGAAATATCATTAAAATAACATTACTCAAAAACGTTGAAATTGGAGTCAGTCATTCTGTCAACTGAAAGGCTCACAGACTGAAGTTATGTGGTTTATAAAACTAGATTTTTATCGCTCACCGTCGATATAATAAATAGACTTTTTGTAATTTCAATGGTCTGAATGATTTGTTATGACTTAGCTCCGCTTAAATGCACTTCAAAAATTTTATAATAGCCCAACATTGTCAGAAAATAATTTCTATTCAAAGTAGAGCGGTACGTGAAAGTTGTGTGTATCGCGCACCAGATTTTTTAGCTGGCAATACTGTGAGTAATAAAAAATATTATCCATAAATACAATAAAAAAGTAACTATAAGAAATGAGTATTTATTGAACCGAAAATAGTTCTTCTAGGCTTCATAGTTTACTCGATATAGTTTTACTCAAGTTAGTTAATTTTTTTGGAATTTATGCGTATGTTAATGCTAAGGCCGTCTCGATTGCTTACTTCGAAATTCTTTCAAGCTTAACTTGCAACATTGATACAAGATTTTATAGCTAGGCTATTGAAATATTTGTTATTAATTGTTGTTGTTATATAATACCATAAAATATAAATTAATGTATTGTTGAATAATTTATAGGAATTAACATTTCTGTATTCAAAGCTAAATATTTCTCATTGGTATTGTTTTCGGCCATACATGCCCTAGTCAACATTCCAACATATGCGTTAGTTTTTGACACACTAATTCTTTTACTGATTCTAAAACGCTAGGAGTTCTGTATCGCCAACAGTGTACGTAATTATCAGCTTATTTTGATATAAACATTTTTCTAAGTGAGATGAATAATGAAGATTCATTAAAATGTCTTCAAAACTAGTACACTTATTGAGGTAGGATTTATTGTTATATATATTCAGGTACAGCTAAATGAAGGCAACTTGCACAATCCGGGTGGATGAAGTGATATTGATAATATTTGTTAGTTGGGAATTATGATCAGTTTTTTAGAGCGCTGGAAACTCAGCGATTGTTCCTTACTTGATCCATATATGGGAAGTGCATACCGCGACCTCAAAATTTGAAGGTTGAAGTGGAACGTCATCATAAGAGGCAGTAAACTAAGATATTAAAAGACTACTCAAATTGAAAAAAAAAAATCAGAAACCATTCCATTTTGCAATATTTAATTTCGTATTGATACTACAACAGCTATTGGTGAGAAGAACTTGTCCGGCAGGTGGTCTTTGTTGTGATCCTTTTTTCCAACCCCTGACGGCTACCTTGAGGTTGCCGCCACGAACTTACCAGAATGGGAGTGTTAAGATTCAGTTCCCGAGGTCGTCGAGAAATAAATATTAAATGGACCAGGGATCGGGAATCTGAGAAGCGATCCTACATTGTTCAGAACGGAGTTTTCTGAGACCCAAATACCAACGTGCTCGGCCATGTCGTCCTTTAGTTTGATACTTACTATTATCTTAAGTTATTTTTCAATTTCTATCAATTTTATTTTAAATTTAAAAGAAGTTCTCTCTCTGCAATAAAAATAATAGCTAGCCATCCTTTGTAGATATTTTTGCAAAGCCCGCCCAACCGACTCACTCGGGTTCAAGGACAGTGAAAAAAATCATTAGATTAGATCCATGGATTATGGCTGCTCAGGGTCAACAAGAGCACAAGGATCTATATTTCTTTCTCTCAACCATACTGCCATCCATATCGGACCAAACCTCCATATGAAACAGATTAAAGTAACTCCTACACCCGGTCTTTGTTAGTTTGCGCCTGACGCAACTAACTTGTCTGTGGGTGGATAGGATAATCGTCGGGAAAATGTCGGTGTACGTAGGTATCAGTGGCTTTTCCAATTTTAGCGGGGGGTCATACATCCAAGTACTTACCACGCTTGACTTTGATGAACTTTGTTTATCTGAGAAAATAAAGTATAATATCTAACCAAACTTCATATTCGATATCATTAGAAAAACATACCTTCCAAATTACTTTTTCTACTTGAAGTGACTTTTGCGTAACAAGCACCATAAGCCTTTCCAAGTAACTTTCTTTATATGTCCTAATATTTAATCTTACCTCCCTGCATTTACAACCCACGTTGAATGTGTTATTCATTCGCATAACACATAGACCGTCCTTCAGATCACCATTTTCTTTCTCATTAGAATATTACATTAGACATATCTGATTAATAATACTAATAATTAATTAATAATAAAAGATTAGCAATTCAATACATCTCTAGTTCACAATGTTTCTGCTCTTCTCATATCTAAATTAATTTTCTTATTCCATCTCCGTTGAGTTTCATGATCATAATCACATTTGATTCCGTTTTTTTTTTGTTGCTAATATTAAGAAACAATATATTGCTTCATGACTTCTGGGTATAGAGAAACTTTGTACTGGTGCAAAAAGACATATCAAGAACTGATGTTTTGTGCCAGTTTCCAGCGAAATCCATTTAGCGGACATAGAATTATAACAACTACTAACTTTCGATTTTGTTAAAATTGTCAGTGACTGCGATTTGCTATCTAAATAGTTTCATATCAAATTTCATCCACTACTTTCAATTTACATATTTTAGTTAGAAATATTTTGTAGTTGGCAATCGATGAGGAATGAAATCAAACATCAAATCGTTCTGTCTGTTTGATAATAGGTTGTCTTGACCAGACTGAGAATAGGCCATACCAATCTAACCCATTCACATCTCATTAGCAAACAGCCCACCATCGAAATGCCAACACTGTAATAGTACACTTATAGTTAGCCACATTTTTCAGGAATGTTCTTTTTATATCTCGAATCTAACTAGTTCAGGACTCACTCACACAATATCAAACATTCTAAAAAAAGACGAAGACTCAGTAAAATTAGTATTACATTCCTTAAAAATTAAACAATTTGTTAAACAAAATATAAAAGCTGAAATTTAAATCTAGTTCAGATAAACAAATTTAAATACAGGATTTGATGGCCTAGACGTATTACGCCTTAGAACCCCAACTAACAACCACAACATATTTATAGTTTTAAAATGGCTAGGTTGATTTGGTTCAACGATGGTGAGAATTTGTTGACGATTATAAA